ACGCGCCCCGGGGCCGATGGACGACGCAAGGGCGGGAGATGGATGCCAGGGTCGTAGCGGTCATCGTGCGTTCTATTGTTTGCACCATGGCCCCAATCCTTGATCGATAGCTTGGTCTCCAGGGCGGATTCACATGCACGCTCCTACTGACTCCCCACGCAGCACGCTGCTCAAGTTCCTCGCGCACCACGGCGCACGGGCACGTAGTTGCGCTCACTCCTTCTCTAGTCTTCCCGCCTCTGGCTTCGTCACACGTCGAGTTTCTGCGCCGCCCCACGTCGAACGCCGCCCTCGATCCGCGCGTTCGCCGCACGCCTCGCCGCACGCGACTACATGGCAACCTCACCACCGCTGCTCGACGCGCTCGTATGCGCGCATGCCCACGCCGTCATCGTCGACCTCCTGAGATTTGCGCGCGGATGGGACGTTGCTGCTGCCGGCGATGCTCACGGTGCCGCGCGATAACCGGGTCGTGCATGGGTGTGCATCGGCTCTTATCTTGCTACGGCCGCGCCTACGCCTATTCTCGTCATGGAAGCCACCCGCGCGCTACGCGCCATCCTCCGGACGCGCCACCTCCAGCAAGTTCCCAACGCCCTCCCCTCTGCGCCGGTGCCTAACCCATCTGACGGCTCTTCTACCGCCACCGGGCGCGTACCCAGCCAAATATCCACCATCGTCACCTGATCGTCTCCCCAGGGCTCCGCCGCGCCGAGAGAGTCGCGCCCGTCGCTGTCTAGGTACAGCTAGACAGAGGGAGGGTCGTGGTGTGTGTGAGATTTTTCTGTGCGTTCCTTCACCCGTGCTGGATGCTCTTCCGTCCTTGCTCATCCTTCCGTCCGCACTTGCCTCGGGGGTTTGTGCCCTGTATCCTCGGCGCGTTCGTGTTCTCCGATGCGCATCTTCGTTCCGCCTTTTCCCCTTCCTTTCGTTTTCGTTTCACCCTATGGCTACCCTTCCCTTCCCCCCCTCATATGGTATTGTGCGTCGTGAGGCGCGACTGCGTCCGTTTCTCACTTCACCTCGAACCTTATTCCTTTGGTTCTTTCCTTGTTCGTACTTGAAATGTACACCCTGCTTCATCCTGCCATCCATCCTTCATTCTTCGCAGGCCTCTCCGAGACCTACTCTGCTGAGCCCTATGCCGCCGAACAGACAACGCGTACTTCTCCTTGGTGCGACTGGCGAGACCGGGGGATCCATCCTTCGCGGTTTATTAGAAGACAAGAATTCTTTTGTACCCAGTATTCTATCCCTCGCAGCCCCTATAAAGTGACCGATCCAGGTCGCCCTTTGTCACCTGCACCGGTGCGCCATCGAGATCAGATACTGCCAGTGAGCAGGTCGCGTCGAAACCGAGTCCCTTGACAGCGGACGGCGAGATCTGGGACTCGGAGAGACAAGTCTTGATCGCGGACGATATGCTTGCCCAGATGTTGTTGGTGGACTGCTCGAAGATGCGATGATCTTCAGGATCGCGCCAGGTTTTTGTTTCGACCGTTGAGGACGCGACGACCTTGCCGTCGGCGGAGACCAGAGAGGCACGGGCAGAGCCAGTCCCGACGTCAATGCCCAGGTAGTAGCTTTCACCAGCCATGCCTCTAAGTACTGTGCGCTGAAACGAGGTGGAGAGAGGAGATAGGAGCCCCACACCGGCCCGATTGACCGGAACGTACACCAATCTTCAGGACAGCGTATTTATGCCTATTCTCACATCTCAAACGTTGCTCTGACAATGTCCAGCAAGTTCTTTCTCCCCTCTTTCATTTTGCGAGTTTTATTGTGCGCCATTTCCATCCCACCCTCCCAACTAGCATCCCTCTTCGATTCATCCATTTCTGAGTACTCCTTCAGGCCGAAACAACATCGACTTGCGCAGACAGAATTTCAGTCACCCTCACGAGAACTATGCTCACTCGTATGTCGGCGTCGATTTCCTGGACTTTTATGCGCTCTCATCAAGTTCGCAGAACGTTTGAACAAGGCGTAGTGGCGGGTGGTCCGCACTTGCAATATGTTCGCGACACCCCGTGCCTTACATCTGCAGGATTCGCTCATTCGACTCGAGCCTGCGCCATGTTTACTTATGAGTAAACCCGTTCTTTTTCTGGAGAGGAAATCCGGAATAATACTGCTCTCGTTCCACCACGCTCCGCGCTCGATTGAAACATCGTTTCCCTGTTTCATCGAATGCTGCTCGTTCCACCCGGGCGTGCGCCCCATGAACGTCCGCCTCTCGCTTTTCTTCTCTCCGAACTACGGCGCGCTGTTCATCTTCCCCTGATTGAACACTTGCCGTTTGTACTAACTCCCCCATATCCATATTTCAACACTGGCGCATATACGGAATCCGAACTGATGGTTGGCTCTGTCGGTGGTGCAAATCGCTCTAATCACTCCTCCGATTTTCTTCTGCCTCTTGCTGCCGTTTGAAACAACACCGGGAAAGAGAAAAGTGGGGTTTGTGAACGTAGGAACGGGCTGGTCTGCATAAATGTACTTATCTGTGAACCAAAAAAAGGCACTCTTCGATGCTTACAGCTCGGGCCCGGGTCGAACGGGCGGGTTTGCAGAAGTGTTGCGGACAGTTCATTTATTGAACACAGACGCGTCCCGGACGCTACCGAACCCCCTGCATCCCCTTTTAACCCCGGGTCTCCAGGTGACGCAAATATTGCTGAGTGCAAATTCCCTGTACGGACGCTTGTCGAAACATCGGAGAAGCAATGACAGGATTGTCTCATCCGTTTTTTTTTTCAGCGTCGAGTAGAAAGCAGAGTTGCGGCCTGTATGCAAATGTTTTCCGGTCCGCATGTGGCGTTCTCGAACCGCCTCTCAGTCGTTATGCTGTCAAGTGCACCAACACAAAAAAAAACAGTGTCTTGCAACATGGGTGAGGCCTCGACGCCACCGAGCCTCTTGCAGATGTTGTCAGTCCCCGGTGACCTCCCCCGTGTTGAAGCGGGAGGGCGGCTTGGGGGACTGATGCATCTCGGCCGTAACTTCAACTCCAATCCATGACTTGAAATTAGCTTCAACCGTGAGCACTCAAAAGAGCTTTGCATGGTTCACCGCGTATTCGCCTCCCCTACAAAGATTGGTCTAAGACAACGACAATGGCTGGTGCCCGAGCTGAACGGGCGGGGTCCGCGAACATCGTCTCTCCGGTATGTGTCATGAAAGGCAGACGTGTCCCGGACGGACGCGTCTGTCTTGAATAGGATAATTTGATTCGAGGAAAGTTCTCCAGACTGTCCGTTCGACTCGGGCCTGAGCCATGCAGTTTGAATTGTTCACCTTTTTCATCGCGAATTGGAGGCATTTCCTCCGCACGTAACGACGTTGAGATGGCTAAAGTAAGTGCAAGTATTCACTGACCTATAGAGCCCACGCCGTGCGGACGTGGAGTTTCAATCGTCCATTGGAATTTACAGTGAGTGAATCCCTCGGTGGAATATTGACTAATTGCTATAAAAGCTTTTTTCGCAAAATATTATGTGGTTGATGGGTTGCGGACACAGATCGTGGTTGATCGTGTTCCGTGGTTGTGGTTCAGGTTAGCCGAGGATTCCTTGGGGCTAATCCGAAATCAGCCGAGGGCTCGGCTTTCTAGATGAACCGAGCCAACACAGTTGTAGAGTTCTAACATCTGTGTAGGGGCTCATCCATTGGAATGGCACCGTGATTCGACATTTCTGTAAATGTGTTCGACTTACAGAATTACTTAAGTTCAAATCAGGATATCGGGCCGATTCCGCGGCTTCCAACACTCCTACAGTTTTAGGTAGAACTATTAGCATGAGGAAATAAACTATACTCTAGCATGCAGTCACTCTATAAGGTCGAACAAGAGGCCCTATGAGGCAGAACTAGTACTACAGAGTGTTGTGCAATTTTCGCAACACTCGGGCCGATGTCGTGATCAGGAATGATCGATTATCATTCGGCCGGCCCTCGGCACGTTGTCCCCTACCCTCCACCGCGCTGCCTCCAGTCCAATTCAACCACCGGCCAGGGTCGAATTCACTGTGAAATTCAACCAAATCGACAGGAAAGTGCTCAAAAAGGTCGTTCAGAGACCTCAAACAAATCCAAAACCTCGATGTTGAACCACGAATCGTGCCAAAACCACGGACCACGGACTGCGATTATGCTCGGCCAGACCTCCGTCTAACACCACATAATACTTTGCAATAAATAAGGTCATAAATTGCGCATAGATGCACCGCGTTGCTTGCGTTTACATGAGTTGGGATTACCTTGTGCGTATAGTGGTCAAAGGTCCTCTATCCGAACTGAGTCGGACTGACTTGTTCAGTACGGAAAAGTCACGGATGGCCCGGGGAAAGATTGAATTAATAAGGCTCGGTACGGCTGGGACGTGTCTGTGTGGAATTAACGGGGCGTACCATATGTCTGCGGACCCACCCGTTCGATTCGGGCCCGAGCCATGGGTCCTTTATAGCCACTTTTTGGGCTGCTAGCTGGGGCGCTTGTGACTCTCATCCTCGTGGGATAAGTTTATGAGCAATGGACATTCGAAATTCAACATCCTGGTTAATTATGTTATTCGGCGAGGAGATACACACATTTGAAAGGGCTCGGTCGCGTCCGCGACGCGTCTGTCCGAAATTCGCGGAGTTCCGCACCAGGAATCCGCGCTGAGAAATACTGGTGCTTGAATCGAGGAGCAGGAGGGTTGGTGGAGCGGACGTCACCAAGCCTCTTGCATCTACTTTCAACCACCACCATCGTTCAGCTGGATCCCTGGCACGGAACTCCAAACTTCCCAGTGCTTTCAAAGCCAATCAGCGCAAAAGGGTTTCGTTCCTCACTATATGACTGGTCACTGGAGCGGCGCCAGTCGAACAGACAGGTATGTGTAGGATCGTATTCTTTAGGCCCCAGCGTTGAACGCAGCTACGTCCCGGACCTTTTTATTCAAGTCGAGACACGTCGCGTTAAACCCAACCTAAAAAAAAGGCTCCAGACGTGCATCCTGGCTCGGACCCGATTCGAACGGGCAGTCTGCAGAGATATGTAACCACGACGCTCATTCATTAAACGCAGACGCGTCCCAGACGCTACCGAGCCTCCCGCTCCCAGTTTCAACCACCACTACGTTCCAGTGAACTGTGGGTGGATTCTGCGTGCGGAACTCGGGCGAAAATCAGTGAACAGAAATGGTTTCGCACCTCAATAGCTTGGGCGGCGCGAGTCAACCCGCCAGGGTCTGCGGACGCTGGACACATACTAGCGCGCGTGAGAGTTGAACCAAGATAACTATGTGTATAAAAGCTTTTTTCGCTGAATATTATGTGTTCTGTAAATCTTGCCCGCACGACGTTGTCCGTGGTCCGTGGTTGTGGTTAGCCGACCCTTTCCGGGGCTGATACCTAGCCGAGATCAGCCGAGTCCGGGCGCTTCACGGCACGGCCCAGGACAAAGGCAGGGTTGAACAGGCCACCCTGTAAGATGTATATTCTGAGGACTTGTATTGTTAAGAATTGCCTCCCCTTCTGCTCGCTCTTTTAAGTTCTAATTCGACTGCAGCGGTCTCTCCAAGTTGTATAATGAAAAATGGGTGTAACTACTGCACTGCGAAACTCAAGTTGCGCTGTCGTTGAAGGCCGATGAACCGATATAGCGGGCGCGCTGACGTAAAGAACTGGGGGGATTTTTTCTGCAAAGTTCTGCGAGAAATCGTCGGAGTAATATGCGATCCGGTACCAGATCAATTATTGAGTGATGGCGACTCGGTAGCCTCGGCAGATGGCTTGTAAGCTGGATTTGTATCTTTAGTGCCTGCCAAATTCAACCTCGAACAACCACGATTACCGTTCAAAATACAACGGATATCCCAAGTACTGACCATGAAAGTGTCAAAAAAGTACATTCAACGACGACGAAACACTCACAAACCACGTTCTTCGACCACAAATTAGTAGTGAACCACGGTCCACGAAGAGCGAGTACCGCATCTTGAAGTTAGTTCTCGCACCACATATTATTCAGTGATAAATACTGTCATATATGTGTCCCAGTCACCCTATCCGTGTTTGTGTCGATCTTATGACCTTATTTATCGCTGAATATTACGTGGTTCCGGAACGAGGTTCAGCACCACGTACTCGCTTACCGCGGACCGTGGTTTACGAGTAATTCGTGGTTCAAGAACGTGGTTTCTGTGTGTTTCGTGGTTGTGGAACGCACTTTTTGAGCTTTTCCAAGGTCAGTATCCGGGATATTCGAGGTCTCTCCGACACCCATCGTGATTGTTCGTGGTTGAATTTGGCGGGGTTCCAAGTTACAAGTTCCATCTGCCGAGCATACCGACTCCACATCAATCAGCAATTGATCTACCCAGCGGGCCGAATATCGATCCAATGGGCTTTCTTGGAACTTTCGCAAGACTTTGCAGCAAGATAGTTCCCGTCCTGCGGGACAGTGCCTCCGTTAAGCCCGATTCATGGTATGACTGCACGATCATAACCTAACTTAGTGGGGCACCGGTTGTACTCACACAATGTCAAGGTCGCAAGTGACCTCTGCAAGTGAATTCAAACGGGAGAGGCTAGTACGGGGTAGGCTGGAATTTCAATTACATACTCTACGGTGAAAATGGGCCTGTTAAACCCAGTTCCAACCCAGCCTTCCGGGGGCCTTGCCGTATACCGCACGAATCCGGCCGATCTCGGCTCACCATTAGCCCCGGAAAAGGTCGGCTAACCACGACCACGAACCACGAACCACGAACCACGAACCACGAACCACGTCGTACGTGCAAGATCTACGGAGCACATAATATTCAGCGAAAAAAGCTTTTATACGATCTCCTGTGAAGGACATGTTGAGTTGTGACCAAAAGCAAAAGGGTATATAGCACCACTGGCCCATGGCTCGGGCGCGAGTCGAACGGGCAGACTCTAATACTTCAAGATGGCGGACCATATCAGTCAGACAAACACGTCGAAATCCACAGAGCCTTCCATGTTCGAGTGTGCTCGCTTCTTCGTGCTCAGTTCCTCATCAGTGAGCTGATGTTTTTTTCTTTTCAGATACACATACACATAGGACGGTGATTCGAATCAGCGAACTCCATCTCCCGTCTGCCCTGCCGTCTGGAGACCGTCAATTAGAAATCCAGAAATCCAGAACCAGAATGGTGTTTGGTGCAAGGGTTAGTCCGAGACGGAGAATTCCAGCCATTCCAGTAGACGTCGCAGGTGATCATGGAGCAACAGAAGAAAGCCAGCCACGGGGTCGAAGCGGTGAAAGGTGCAAACTTCAAGCTTGGTAATCCCAGATTCGAGTTGGTGCAAGTGGCGAGGTCGAAATCTGAAGAATCAAATCCCAGTGAATGAGTGGCAGCTGAGTAAGTGGACCCGATCAGCTTCGTTTGAATCTCCTTTGCTTGGCCGGGCGGAGAGTGGCAGTAAGTGTCCGTTGCGCCCGCGCTGGATAGACGGAACGATAGGTTGAGGACGTGCGGGTAAGCGTTGAGTGGTAAGTAAAATGTGGAGGTCGGATGAGGAGCACGAGGCATGCACAACCGGGACCCAGACTCGAGACCTGCAACAATAGGAATCAGCGAAGTGCAGACATCGAACGCAGGAAACGAACTCACGAATTTACCCATAACTAACCTTCCCTCTCCCCCACTCAATCTAGACCAGATAGACGCTGTAAGAGGACAATTGGTAACCGCACTGGGCGAGAGGGAAAGACGCGAGAAATTAAATAAAACCCGACAGAACGAAGGGACAAATCAAAACAACGGGATAAGGATGTGGATATGCGTACGGATAGGCTGGGGATACGAAGTTGCGGATAGCGTGTGGATAGCTTGTGGATAAATAGTAGCGAACGAGACCAAGGACATGTACCTGCAGATAGAGGTGTAGCGTGTAGCGTATAGCGGCGAGCCTAGAGGGATAGAATACGCGCGACTGTTTGAATCGAGACCTACACAAGAAGTCAGTGCACGCCCTCTTCTCGAACCTTCGCGCAAGTACGCACCGCCCAATGAGACAGAAAGACTACGCCGCGCCGGCTTGAACGACGAGCCCCACAAGGTTGAGCATCACATCGTTGAAGCTCGCGAGGTTCTGGGCCCCCGTCGCCTGTGTTTGCACCGCACCAGTCGCGCTTGCGCTGGTCGAAGTCGGCCGGGCTCTGGAGGTGCTGGCAGGCACCGAGGAGGAGCTTGGGTGCGCGCTACTACTCGGCTTCACACTCGAGCTCGAATGCGTGCTGCTCGTCGTATGTGTTGAGGTGGTGGAAGTGGTGTGCGTTGTGCTTGTGGTGGAATGCGTAGTAGGCGTCGGCGTACTCGTATGCGTCGTGGTAGTCTTCTTCTGTGTGCTTGTGGTGGTGGTAGGATCGTCCGAGCCGTCAGAGAAGGACCAGGAGCCATAGAATTCGCCGATGCCGGGGTCGCCGACGAAGAACTCGAAGAGGCCCTGTGTGAGGTCGAGGGAGCCCCAGGTGTCGCAGGATGCGCACTGTGAGGGATGTATTCGTTAGTAAGAGGAGATTAGGATGGCGCGCAAAACCGATAGTAACGATAGCGAGTGGGTGGCGGCGACCATGGAGCAGGAGAGAGATGCGGGGCAAGCTGGGGGAAAGGGAGGGAGGCGAAGGGGGAGAAATGGTCGAGGGAGGAGGGTAAAGGGAAGGATGGAGGAAGAAGACGAGACACAGGACAACGCACGGCTGCCGGCGGCAGATAAGTGCGGGTAGGCAGCAAGGATGTGGGAGGGAGGGATGCAGAGAATGAGGGATCGAGATGAGAAGGGTGGCATAGAGGTCACGTAGGGAGGGAGAAAAGAAAAACATAAAAGGAGATTCGGGCGTCGCGCAAAGCCGGTATTCACAACAATAGCGCGGGCAAACGGTGGCGGCAAACGGTGGCGGCGACAGCGGGGGCAGGTGAGGAGTACGGACGGAACGTGGAGGGAGAGGGATACGCAGGGAGGAGGGACAACGGGAGGGTTGACGGGGGGAGGCAATGAATACGCACCTCATCGACACACGTCGCGACCGTACTCTTCCCATTATAATCAATCCGCAACTGCTTCCCGCAGCACGATGAACCGTCCCCGAATTGGTTGTAGTTCATCGCGACGAACTGCCGTGTGTCACTCGTCACTTATTTCACTCGAAATGGGAAGTGGGGGAGGTCGACGCACCCAATCACTATCCTTATGATTCTTTCCCGTACACGCGTCCGGCCCCGTATTCGTCGGGTACCACGTCATAGCTACGCCCGTGTATGAGTCTCTTTTTTCCACCTCCATGTCCCCAGAAGTGACATTGCCCGGCCCGCGCAGACGCATAGCGAGGGTGTTGTGTGTGCGTGGCGCAGCGGGCGCAGGGTGGTGTGGTTGGTGTTGAGGTTTGGAGGCGAGGGTGCCGGTGGCGCAGAGGAGCAGGGCGCCGAGGAAGTGCATCGTCGTTTCTAGGTGTTTGCAGAGATTTTTCTAGTGGTCTGTCGTTCTATCGTGTGGGTATGGAATCCAGCGGGTGGATACAGAAAAACGAGAAAGAGCGTCCTGGCGAGCGAGCGTGTGTGGAAGGAGAGTGAGCCCAGGGACTGGCGGGACGGCGGGCGACGAGGAAGAGGTAGAGGGCAACGAGCGAACGTGGGAACGATTGATGGATGCGGCGCTGATCATCTGTTGATGATTTGATGACTTGGATTGGGCCTCTTCGAGGCGGGCGCTGAACCTTTGGGTTTCATCGTCCTTCCGAAAGCCTCTCTCAGGCTTTAGATTAGACGGTGATATGGTGGGTGACGAGCCACCGGTGAAAACCGTTGGTTTTCGCATTCTTGAACACCTATTGGCGGGAATGTAAGGCGAAGTTATAGAGTATACGTTCTCCTCGGAACGGTATACTTTGCCGCTGACAGTCGAAAGCGGGCGGGCAAACACGTGTGATAAGAACTCAACGCTGGGCCTCTAGCCCAGCGGGGTTTTCGATGCACCTAACCGGCCGGCTCAGATGGGCGGCTAACCACCGAACCTTTGAGTACTCGAGGCTAACAAGAGGAACTACTATCTTAGAGCGAGCCGCCCACTTCGGGCGGAGCG